TGCTCAGAGTGCACATGAAAGGTTGTTTTGCATATCGGTGACGGACATCTGTACAACGCGAGATATAGCCATGATGGCCCCAGGGAGTTTCCTTAAGAGCGCAATTGTTGTCTCCGAGGTCTTGGCTGGAGATGATGTGGTTGGTGGCTGTTGTCTGTCAATGTCAGGCATCAATGGGCGAGATGAGCTCAGATTTCCCGTTGAGCGGGCCGAGCAGGACTGTGACAACGAACGCAGAAGCGTGGCATGCTTAGAAGGTAGCTTCAGCTGACGAAAGGGACCAGCTGTACAAGGGAATACCTAGATGTTGGAGCGGTGTCGAGGCCGTAAAGGTTGGTGCACCTTCCGCGAAAACCAGTTATCCATGACTTTGGATAATTGGGTTGCGCTGGGCACCGACACACTCTGCCCAACCGGTTGGTCGACTCCTGCATAGCTACCCCATTTGCCATTGGAGGCCCACACTAGCTGGGCGCTGATGTATTCGAGAATTGTCGAATGACAACAAGAGGCCGTGATATAAACATTGATATAGGGGGTGAGGAGCATATGTACAGGGGAAGCGAGAGATGTCGTTGAGAGAAGGAGGAAAGTCATGCGAGAAACTCGGTGTGACATGTTGATGCCTGGATAGTGAGGCTCTCATACGAGAGTATTAGCTAACCAGGCCCACTTTTCCAGTACAGCGACTGCTTCGTATGCTGCAAGAGCTTCATAAACTTCAACAGAAACTCAAGGCTCTAAGACCATCACATCTGCCGGAAACAAACCAGCAGGCTGTATGCGGCTACAAGTGGTCCTAATCCGTTTGCAATTCTGCCAGTTGAGAAGCACACCGGTGTTAGCCTCACAGAACCAACGTCAAAGCATAATTCAGAGGACAACGTAAACTTTCCTCAACTTTCGCGCGTTTATTTTCTGCACACAGATTGCGCCAGCACACAAGAACACATGGAAGCTCCTTGTTCGCGACTATAGTGCTCTTCCCTATCCAAGCGCGTTCTTCCACTGCTACTATCGTGCGACATCAATGGTGCAAGAACTTGGGAAGTTCAGACCACGTAAAACACCTGTTTGGGCCTCTACTGTTGATGCACAATGCCACAATCATTGCTAGCCAACAACAAGAAGATGTCACACCTAAGAAGATTAATATTATTATGCGCCAAGTCAAGCACTACTCGTGCTTCCCAAGCGCTAGATGCCGTAGAGCGAAGTCGATATTCGTTTACAGGTTCCCATCATCTCACCCGAGGTGCACGATACAGGCAATTGCCCCGAGAGATATCACCTCAAATCTCACTTAGATTTGGAATGAAAGTTGGTCTATAGTTACAATACTATAGCCACCTGGACTACCTGTATTACGGACTCGGGCGTAGTCCTTTCACCCGCTGCTCGATCCCAACCACCCCCCCTCTTCATCTCCAGATACCAAGAAGATAGTTGATGGGTACACATTTATCAGTCGGGCGTATCTGCTCAAGTAGTATGCGGCTAGGAACCAGCTTCATACCAGTTTATTAATGTTTGCTTGCGGGGAAGTGCAGGTACGGAGACGGAAACTGGCATCATTGCACCACTATTACGCCCAGCTTGGGTCTGTCTAACCATTCTGTACGTTGGACACCAGTAAAACGATGATGTTACGAGGTTTTTTCTTCTTCCTGCTAGTCCTAACAATTGCATGTATGTCGATGCTGCCCTCAGAGTAAGGAATATCTCCTGAGTACAGCTTTTCATAGTCGTCATCGTTATGACATGCAAATCGAACGCGGACAACTATGGTTCAACATCCAAAGAATCCGTGATTCATTGGCCAATATCACGTCGTTTCAATCTGTTCACAGAAAGTAACGTCACTCAGTTTGACGTTGACCGGATTTATAAACACTACGAATGCTTCGCTCCTATCATCGGATTGACTTAGACCTTAATTTCTTCATCAATCAATTCAAACACCACTTTGGCTCGTCTTAGCGGATAATTAATTCTTATGGCAATCTTACAAGATTCAAAATACCTCAAATTTCACCAAATAACTTATCAGTCCCCTCCCTGCATTACGACTGACAAGGTGGCTATGTGGTCAATTTTCTTTTTTGTGGTACAAGCTCAGAAAGGCATTCTTCATTGACATCATATAGATTTAATTTATCCAGCCTTCTCCGTCCCATTCCCATTGCAGATTCAATATATAATTGATTTTGGACCGGGCGAAACCCCCTCGTCCATCGATTAGACCATCCGGCGAGGCTGAACTGACAGAAGAAAAACATTTCAAAGAGAGAAAGTGCAATGTCTGTGCTGATACGCTTCCTAAGGATTGAAAGGCTGGAAAATAATACTATCGATCCGATCGACAGAAGCTGGTCCATTACCAAACAAGAATTCAAACTTGATCGTGGCCGTCTTCACCCCAGTCGCGGGCGTCCAAATCACATCATTTACATTATAGTACCCAGCACCTTTATCGGCAGCATCAATCGTATAGACAGCCTGATCATTGATCATCACTCCGATAAAACCGGCGTTCACATTATCAAAAAATGTGTAGAATTGAAGATAGTAAGCCGTGCCCGGTACGACGGTAAGCTTCTTGCTGATCAATCTCGCGCTCACGCCCAACGGTGCATTCTGTGGAGGTGGCTTGAATGCAACTTGAAAGGCCTTGCTACCAATATACGCGCTGCCGGTACTGATGCTGACTGTTGCTGCTGAATCTGGGTTCTGGGTGGTCCAGGAACCAAGACCACATTCGAACTCTCCATCAGGTAGAATGCCAACTGGTGGGTTCGCATTACACGTTGCAGACAAAGCAGCAAACACCACATCATCAACTTTAGCCACACTCTGCGATGGACTAAACAGAAACTCGAACTTCGGAGTTGCAGTTGTCTCGGTCGCATTCGCAGTCCAGGCAAGCTGATTGAAATGCCAATGGCCCATCCCATAATCATTCGGATCGATCGTTCGATACGGGATATCATTGATCATCACACCTGTGAACCCAGAACTTCCAAACTCAAACCACGTCGCGAACGTGAGTTTATAAGTCTTACCCGGGCTCACCGGAGCAGCTGGTCCGATGATCCTCGCACTCACACCAAACTCAGTGACCACCGATGGCGGGGTGAAATCAACTTCAAAAGCCTTCTGGTTCGTGAACCCCGGCGAGGAAACCTTCACGGAAGCAGCGGCATCTGGAATCTGCGTCGTCCACGGCGGAATCCCGCACTCGAAATCTCCGTATATGAGACCGGCGGTGGGAGTGGAACATGCTGCGGTAGTCGTGCACGTTGGTCCGCATTTACAGGCCGAGATATAGCGGGCTGCTGAGGTGCCGCATGCTGCTGTTGCGCGGGCAGGGAAGTTTGTTGCTGTCACTCCGCCGCTGGTGATCGTTGCGCAAAACGCAGCAGCTTGGGATACGGCTGTGGGTGTTGGGCAGGGGAAGAGTGCTCTGTAGCAGCTAGATATGAAGAGTTAGTTTTTGTGAAACGGGATGTGGTTCAGGACCTACTTGTCTGCAGAGCACACAGTAGCCGCCTTACTTCCCCCGATGAAAATCCCAACAACGGCTATGAGTTTTATATACATATTGCGAAATCTCAGTTATCCTTCACTCCAATTTCACTTCAAACTTAACTCATACCCCAAACCAAAATCAGCAAACCCATCCCCTTATACCCCCTCCCTCGGCCCAACCCCTCCCATCTTACCTGCCCGTCGGCCCTTCCACCGTCACGTCTCCCGATTGTTTATCAATAAAATACCGTGTGGCTGCAGCTTTCGTGTAACGCTTATCCTTAAAGTAGAAGTTATTTTTCAGCCGCTCGACTGGGAGCCAATTGTGAGGCGAGGTTGGAGAGGGTTGTGTAACGTGGGGTCGTTGTACATGAGAGTATTGCTTGCGTGCAGATATAAAAGAGTGGAGTGGAGAGGGCTGAATACGAGGAGGGTGCCTGGCGGGAGGAGCCGTTAGGGATGGGTTGAGGGGGGGTTTGTGGGGTGAGGCCGCGGGGATGTGAGAGGTGAGGAAATGGAGTGGTGTTTTGTGAGGGCATGATGGAGTTTGTTGAGGATGCGAGGTTTATATTTTTGTTGTAAGCTAAAAACATTAAGAGATGATATCTGGCAAAGGAAGCAAATGCAGTGTGCAGTATCCCATCTCTGACGTTTGTTCATTTCATTCCAATATCTCAGAGCTTTAAATAGCTATGACCGTGGGACATTACATGAAAAATATAACTTAAGTGTCGAAACACGAAGAGCGCTGGGCTGATCAACGCGAGACTCTGGCGTGAGGATGCTTTTTCATCGCTCGGTTGTGGTTTATGCTAAGAAATGGGGGTCTTGGAAAGGGTTTACCATTTCGTAATTCTTTGTATTCTGTACAGAATGGCTCTGATTGTTTGCACATTTGACGAAAGGAGTATGCAATGATGAAAGTCAGTGTTAGAAGTCGCTTGTATAAACATAGGCGTTGACACGTGAAATAATGCGAACATTACATAACAAAGGAAAGTCATGCTTTCTTCGCTTGCTCATTCGCGCAAACTTTTGATATACTTGGAATTCTACCAAAAGGAAGGGGGACAAAGGCGCTGCTGAAAGATTCCAGAAATCTCAGTGCAGTGAGAAATCATTATTTTGTGTCTTCATCTAATCTTTTGATTAAAACTATAGGACAGCCGCTTCGCATTATTAAAGTGAGCTTTATCTAGGACAGAGGTTACATTTGTGGTTATTGACGGTGGCACAGAGATTAAAGAGAGCGGTTTTATTGTGGAGAAAAGGGCATATTTTTATTGTGTATACTAAGTTAACGGCCAAACTCCAAGTGATAATGACGGGATAACGGTAATGACAGTGTAGATATGATCCTCCGAGCGCCAAAATGAAAATCGCTGTAGTGATAGTGTGGGATAATTCCCCGACCGCCCACACAAAACCCATTCGCTGTAATGACAGTGTAGATATGATCCTCCTAACGTCCCATATGTAGATGCCTTTTGCGGCAATGTCCAAATCAAATGAACTCCCCCTTGCTGATCGTAACCCTGTTCGCAGAACTCCCAAACATCCTAAAGTTCGCAGAGACTTATTACCAAATATTTTCTGTTTAACTTCAAAGATGATTTTCCAAACGGCTCATCCTGATTAGATGGGCCCGTAGGCGTATGTATGGTGCAGGACTTACAGCGGTGCAACACCATATACTGATGGCAAAGGTTCACCACGACCAGCACTAATCCAGCCTTCACTCACGTTCTGGTCGAACTCAAGCAATTCGGCTGCTCTTGCAAGAGTATAACCAGTCGTATTTGGTGGTCGACGAAGTGCAATTTGGACATGTCTGTTCGCATGCTGGCCAAGGCTTTTGCGTAGGTTCAAGATAGTGTTGTCGTCTCCGTAAACAATGTAAACTCTAGCTAGATCGGAAGCGCCAATGCAAAAATTCGTGATGAAGACCCGATCCATCATATAGTCTCCATATAAGACCGCAAGAGTCCGGACACCTCGAGCACTCGCACCGAGACTTCGTGCTTCAGCAGGAGAAACAGGTTGAATTCTGTTGTTGTTGAAAGTCAGCTGAAACAAGTGGTAATTGCCGTCGAATACAAGGTTACAGCGAGATCCGAGGGAATCAGTGCATTGCAGACTGTCTGGTGAAGCTGGGTGAGTGTTTTGGGCCACCGTGGGGGCAGGCTGCGGCAGATGGCGAAACACAACTGTAGTCTGAAGTTGATTTTGTTGCTCGCAGACCTGGAGTCGGATGAGTCGCGAAGCTGAGCTGATGGTTGGGTAGACACCGTTTCCGTTTTGGAGGACAGCGTTGTTTGCCATGATGAGATCGCGGATGGAATATGATTCAAATTCCTGGTTCAAGATACAGGTTCTTGAAAGGACGTAAGCAAACATCTTTGTATGACCTAAAAGCAAGCAAGAGCATTTGGGACGATAAAAACATGTTACTCCTTGTGATAAGAAAAATAAAAACCACTGACTTCGCTTAAGCCCCTGACTATAAAATAACCACTCCAAACACTTCACAACACTTCCAGAACATGCGTCTTTGATGATGCGAAAGGCTTTGTCGATGAAAGTTTTGTTGTTGATAATCTTGAGGGTTCGTGTCAAGACGTGATTTTGGGACGAGGGGTAGGCATAAATAAGAAGTGGCCCACTTTTTGTTAACGACACACTGCCCTGGCGAAAATCATCCTTAGTTCACGGTACCTGATTAGTTAGGCGACTTAGAATTCTTTCATTAACCTTTCTAGGAACTGTAATCTATATTCTCTTTGTATCAAATGTGCTTAATGACTTGAATGTGATTGAGTCTGATTAAGACAGGTTTATCGTTTTTACTCAACTGTAGCACACAAGCTGAGAGAAGAAGTGTACAGCAATTATAAAGAGGTAATTTCGCACTGTCTCTACTGTATTACCAGAAGCCAAAAGAAATTCTCCATAAATAAAGGGTAGATACAAGTTATTGGCTGCCTGAACCCAGGACTGTCCAAACAAAAAGAAATGCGTTACCTAAAGTCCTCATCACCGTTCCCAAAGCTCAAATGCCCATTAATTCCAAATTCTAATAAGATCTTTATATTGCTCAAGAACTATAACTGTCCATTACCACCTAGCTTCAAATTCAAAACGACCCACTAACTTGTGAGGACATTTTCTCTTCCTAAACTTCAACTCGAAAGTAATTCATCATGAAAACTCATCCCAAATTGGCCCTTGATTGGGTACAACACCAGTGACTTTTGGGATAGTTGCGCGACCGACACTATGGGCGTTTTGGACAAGAATTTTCGACAGATCCTCTACATCCTTGATTCTGCATTCGTCTAAACGTGAATTAGGATCGCTTGGTGTTGGCTTTTGAAGTGTTGTAGAGGCATGATAGTAGATAAATGGGCCATTTTTATTCTTCGAGAGATTCTGATGGAAATCTAAAGCATTCTTCTCTCATGCGTATATGATATACACCTCCTTCAAGTCAGCGCAAGTTTTTAAGATTTTCGCCCATGACTTCTCATTGCCAGAAAAGTCATAATAGAGGAGTGCAATTATGCCGACTCCAGTCAACCTCTTGCCAAACGCCTCTGCTATTTTATCATCAACAGTCGCGCATCGATGAGAATCGAAGTAATTCAAAAGAATCATATCTTTCGATCCATCGAAGTGAAGAATATCTGGCAAACCCAGAAAATTGTGACCTTCAATTTTGTCTGGTACAGCATTCGACAATCTCTCCACTTCCGCCTTTATGTCTTTACTGAGGCTTTTTAGGACTGTGAGGTCTTTCAGAGTAAGTCGAGTAAATATCAGCTTTCCATCAACAGCTAGATCAATGAAAGTGACATCAATGATGTTAGACCACGGTAGAAACTTTTCATAGACCTTGTCACGCAATTCTGGTAGTAGTGTCATGAATGGAATGGATTCGATCTCTGGAGGCGGTGGAACAGACATTCTAGTGGTCAGGTCTTGAATTTGTGAGGTACTAAAGAAGCTTCGTCGTAAATCTGATGATGATACGACAGCGAAATTTGATGCGGAAGCTTTATAAATCTTGAAGGTCAAGAAACCAAAAAAGAAAAAGCAGACGTAACTTTCTGTATGTTTTATAGAATGGTGCTCGATTACGCCGCTGACTGTAAACTAAATTCTAGTCACATGTACATATTACTTCCGGAAAGTTTGCTTTGATAAAGTGGAGGTCTTTACTGATATTGAAGGTTTGTTGGTGTTAGTCTCGAGAACTCGTGTCATATGTGAGCGAGTAGTAAATTTATGATGAAAATGACATGTTCCTTCTCCCAGTAATATAATCAGACCATTCATCTTTGTTCTTCCTTTTACAGCAGTCACTTTGTTAGGTCACTCTGCACGTTCTTTGTCAATAAGTTGGGGCTGTCATATGCTCGTGGTTGAATCACGCAGGATTGAGCCATCTAGCTTTGAGAGAGCCAGGCCAAAACCAAGAGTATCTTCGTGAAGTCAAGTATAGCACAGAAATTTCAGAAATGTTTACTTAGTAAATAAACGAGAATGTATTACTAATCTGCCAGACTGAGGGCAAATTGCTATGCCGAGAGAGTTGAGACAAATTCCCGGTCATTCATCCAAGAACGTGTCTACTTCAAATCCAATCGAAATTCCTGGTTACTTTCTACCTCATTGTCCCTGAGCGCCAAATATCCATGACTGTCGGAAGAAATCATTTATCTTGCTCAATGTCCACCAATATTTATCATCCAAATAAGCAGAATAATCTGCCATTGCAGTCCGCAAGAATCCAGAACAGTTGAGATGTATAGATCGGCTGCACCTTTTAGACGTCAATATCAAAGCAGTCCATGGTTGATATAAAAAGGCCGGCCGTCTGTGTTTAACCCCGATAACTTTTGGACCACTTGCGCGACCGACACTCTGCGCATGTTGGTGTAAATTTTCGGATAAAGTGTCTAGAAAAGTCTTCATCTCTGCAGTAAAAGGGCAAAATATGGCGGGTGTTGAAATTGGAAGTGGGTCGGGGGCTTCGTAGTAAATGAAAGGACCCTTCTCGCAGAGGAATCGACTCTCTCGATTTTGCGAGAATTTTTGGATGAACTCTCTAGCGTGATAATATGGGTAAAAAACTTAAAGCGCTTTTAAATTAGCGCAACTCTTTATTATGCGCATCCAGATCCTCTGATTTTTGAGGAAAGGAAATTTTCGGATCACAAGAGTTGAGGCTCCACGCAGATAGTCGCTAAGGCCGTCGGCTATTCCTTGCGGGATATTCGAGGGAAAATAGACTGGGTCCTCGTCGGGAAGATCAAGGTCGCGGCAGTCAACTAGAACTATATCTTTCCTAGGATTGAAGTGAAAGATATTAGACCCGCTTTGAGAATTGATCCTTCGCAGTCTGTTCGGTCCTGGCTTCATGACTGCGACTATCTGAGCTTTGATGTCCCTAGTGACCTGCTTTAGACTCAAGGTGTCTGTCATGTCCTCTAGTCGCGTGATGGCTGGTTTTGCGACACATGTCAAGGTAGCAAAATTAACCTCGAAGAGGTTTGATCTTGGTTTGATGTATCCAATGATTTCGTCTCGCATTTCTTGTGGCATGTTCGTGAAGGTTGTTTTCGGGACGGTTGGGGACACCACTTCTGGGTTTGGCGTAGGAGACATTCTGGTTTTAGTGGGCGGACCTCGAGTTTCGAGATTGTTATAGAACGCGAGAAGAATCTGCTGCTTGCGAGGGATCAGCAAAGTCCAGCAGCAAAGAGAGTTCTTAGAATTTGGAAAGTGAACCCACCAAAAAATGCAATTTTCTGGTTTGGAAACTGCCCTCGGTTAAGCCCCTGAGGAGTTAGTAGCCACCCAAAACACTTGACAACACGTCTAGAAGATGTGCTTTGATGACACGAAAAGCTTTGCTGATGAAAGAGGATTGTGGTGTTTATGTTAAGGGTTCGTGTCAATGTGCACATAAAACAATGAGGGGTAAACAGGGCAGACACTGGCACTGCCTGCACAAAAATTACACTAGCTAGTTTTTCTTTTTGGTCATTCACACCAACTGCCCTGTTAGGCGACTTATAATTCTGAAATTTTACTAAAATTAGAACTGAGATCTATTACTGTTCGTATGACATGCGCTTGAGGCTTCGAATTTTGATTGTAACCCTTGTGGGAACGGTGGCATCGTCTAAGCTTGCTTGAATCGCAAAGAGATGACACATCTTCAATCGCCGATAAATTCTTGTACAGACTGACTGTTGACATGTCTGCTTGCTAATGGCAGCATCCAGCCTTGTCGTGACTCTTCAAAAGATTTCTTTGGAGCGAATGTGGTAACATTCATATATTTGGGGACTGTTACGCTCGATACTACACCAAATATCCTACACGACAAGAGGAAAGGCGATATGGACGTGTCAATATTTCTCGAGAGGTATGAACGTACTGTGTGTTTAAAGTCTAACAGTTAACGCGCGAAACCTTTAGACAAGCCCACGCTGTATTTGAATATGTAGAGTGCCAAGTCGACCTCAAGTTTCTAGTCCACCAACATTTTCTCCGATGAAATGTGCTTTGAGAAGCAAATAGTAGCTTTTGATATCGTGATAGCTACAAATTGAAGTTATTTCCCAGTATAGTTGAGAGTTTGTGCTGTAACACAAAACACATCACGAGCACCTCGCAAGACTCTCAGCATCCGCCCATACTTTTGTTTTTTGTGGATTATTTTATAACACAAGATAAGCTTCGAGACACGCTCGCAAGCTATGATTGTATGCACATCTAGTGAATTAATAAACAACTCAAACAACTTAAACAAATCATAAGTTGCGTAAGTTGAGTTGAGTTCTGTTTAAGTTATAGACCCCCTTGAGTTGAGTTGAGTTACGACTCACGTAACTTATAATTAATTTGAGTTATTTAAGTTATATACCTTATAACCTAGGCTATTTCTACTAAGGTGAAAGATAAAGAATAAAAGATAAAGATATACTTTCTCGCTTAACCTCTCACCCCTTATTTATTTACTATATAATACCTAATTAAATAACCTTTAATTTAATAGCTAAGAACTTAATAGTTAGTTATCTTCTAGCTCTTCCCCTATAATAGGTCTAAAGATATAGGGGTTATCCTCGCTGACTCTAGTAGCTAGAGTCTCGGATAACTTTCTTAATATCTCTTAACGTTATTATAATATAATAATAAAGGTAGAAAGGATTATTAAGGAGGCGAAGCGGCGCCCCCCCCCCCTCCTTTCTAAGTAAGGGTGGCGAAGTAGGGTCGGGCCGTAGGATCCGGGTCCTCCGATTAGCTATAGTATCACGTGTGTAGTATAACTTAACAACTCAAGATAATTATAATTTGTTTAAGTTAAGTTGAGTTAAGTTTAAGTTACTATATATTATCTTGAGTTAAGTTTGAGTTAGACCCGCAACTCAACTCAACTCAACTCACTTAATACACTGTACAAATCAAAATAAAGTAGACTTCACTAAGATCTCAGATTATTTTCCATATTTGCCCAACTTGTGTATGTTATATTATTAGCAGGTCAAAATGTCCTTCGAGACTTTAGTGACACTGGTGAATGATCATAACTCTTTATACCAAAAAGATACTACTACCAGACTCAATACAGCGAGAATCTATCCCGATCAAGTTCCAGACATCTTATTCCTCAACTTTGCATTACCCACATGAGCTGATTATGGACATGAAGTTCGAGAGTACAACTAACTCCATTATGAGCCGAAATCCATGGCATTCAACTCCCTGAGCTAACAACACCCTATTTCTAGACTCTACTCTTCAAGACACCAAAGACTTCTGGAATAGTTTGAAGCCCATGAGATTGAGCAGCCTGTACGAGTGTTCTGTGGAAGGTTGTTACTAGAGCAGCAAATGGATAATCGACGCGAAGGTAGTTTTGATCGACGAATCCATGTCGAGAAGGGCTTAGGTGAAATCTCCGCATTTCCTGATCGTTTCCCCAGCCAAAATAGAATCTCTTTATCCCTGAGAAATTCTCCAAAAGGTGCAACCTGTGTCTTAATGTCTGCTGTAGAGGGGCTGCTGAGTTTATTTGGATGTTGCTGGCGTGAGCAAAAAGGGTGCTGAGTGAGCCACCCACAGCAGAGTTGCTGATTGCATGAGCGAGGGGGTTGCCGGTGCGATTTCTAATTGGACCCAACCGGATCATGTCAACGTCTCCCTCGAATGTCACTGGGAAATCTCCTTGAGCATTAGATTCAGTCAGACTATGACTCTTTCTGGCTAGAATCCTATCGGTAAACGATCTTGCCTCGTGGTCCACTGCCCATAAAATAATACGTCTCTTTGCAACACGTGCTATCCGAATAGTGCTAACTCCGTTCACGAGTACAACCTCAATATCGACATCAATCAGCTCCGATGCCGGAATGATACATTCGAATATCATTAATCGTAGTTCCGTCGGTAAAGTTGGAAACAATTTGAACTCAGTGAGAGGTGTTGAAGTATTCTCACTGCCGATAGCTAAATTTTGAAATTGTGTTAGAAACAGCCCTAAAACTTTAGAAGTGATGGATAATGCTTACTTGATGGTAAGTTGACTGAAATGCCGGCGGTTACCATTGTAAGAACGACGTGCTGTGAGCCTTTTGTGCTGCGATATCTGTCTAATGATGGAGAATTTACAGACGCGTCGGCCGACTTATATACGTTATTGGTATCATGTGCAAACATTCTAGGCACAACTCTGGGAGACGAAGTACAACAGAACCAGATAAAGCTTTGTAGACTACTATTTTCTTAGTTAAATTTCCTAAGACTGCAGAGGTGACTACAAAATTTCCGCGACAGTTTTCATTAGATGTTCTTTAATATCACAAGAGTCTTTGTTAACGTCCACAAAAAATCACATGGTCTGTTTTGTGTCTGTAGTTGGTTAAGGGCGTACGAATCATGTAGTTTTGACTATTGGACGGGAACTGGCATTACGGGGTGGGTGGGCTTTTGTGGAAACAACATTGAGCAACAAGTTCTAGGGTGAAGGATGACAAAGCAATTGTCATAGGAGGTGTTAGAGATTGCAAATTTAACAGTCTCCTAGCGTGAAATCCATTGAAAAAGTAGTTGTGCAAGTCATTGTTGACGTAAAACATCAATTTCTGAAAGAATGTTTGTATTGGATTTTTCTTTATTTGTTTCTACCAAGCAACTAGACTCTTAACACAAGTAGGTCAAAACAATTTTAATTATGCAAGACTGTTTCTGTCAGAATTGATTTACTCCAAACCAGGGTATTGACTCAATTTTCGCTTTCGGTAGCCGTGCCATTCAATTCTCGAACTTTACATCGGCCTAATTTAAAAACTGAAATAAACAGATATTATAAATCCTAACATTCCGAAACGTCATCCTCGAAAGCATACTGCTCAAATCCTAAACTGTCGAACAAACACGAAATATTCTAGGCATAACTTTGAGCTTCTTCTCTCGCACTCCAGTTTCGAGTGCTTTGCCGAAAGAAGTCAATTCGGGGTTATATGGGAACTCGGTAAGTGTATACGCCTGATTCCTTAATAATATTGAATCTGTGAGCCTGCTGGAAGAAGTCCGACTTCATTTCGAAGAAGGCATAGATGAAAATGTTTGACATCTTCGCCAGAACAAACGAAAATCACGTCGAGGTGCTCGCACAAACTCAACAGGTCTGCTAGTAGACTTTCTTTTTTAATGGCCGTGTCTTGATCAACGATGACTTTTCGGGCCGCGTCAAACACCCTCTCAACATCTTTACTGATAATGCTTAGTGTGTTCGCTGGAAGGGTTCCGGTGAGGCGGAACCAGAAGGTATCCTTGCTGCCGTTGAAGAAATGATCGGCAGGACTCTCAATAGATGCAACCAAGGTGTCTTTGCCAGGATCGTTTTGGGTTTTGTGGGAAGGATTAGGCTTCTCCATTCTAGCCAATTTGACCAAGTCATAGCCCTTATCCGCTTCGACCTTGAAGTTCACTGTAATCAACTCGGAGTCCCTAACGATGTGTTCAAACACCTTGTCCCGCGGTGGTAGTGGGGGAGCTGCGGAAACACTAAGGTCAGAACTGGCAGTTTGCGAAGTCCCGCTATTGGCACCTGCAGAGAAAATCTCATGTTAGCCCGTGCATATGAAGTAGAAGCTATACTGGCTTGTGTAAAATTTGGCAAAAGATCCTTACCCATAGCGCTAAGTAAACTGCTAGTTGTCATGTGTAAAAACGGACGGTCCACCCTTGACTTGTGAAATATATCTGTGACTCGAGATTTAGCAACACAATCGCTATGCTTATTGAAAACAACGAATTTCAAAGAGGTGTCTGATCTAGTTTAGCATACTTCATTACACTTATGAAACGAAAAATCAAATGTCTTACCTTTGCTAAACTCAAGACACTGTTGGGTTACGCTTTTTATTGTGTAGATTTGATTGTGTAGATGATGTCAGGAACCTTATTGATATCTTGTCCAGCCGTAAATTAAGATCAAGGTAATGCAAAAATAAAACTTCTTCAAGTGGCGCCAATTGAATACAACAGGAGAAACAGTTCAAAAGTTTCAGGCATCTATATATAGCCATTATTGACTTGCGCGTCGATACATGACTGGCCTTAAAAGAGAAGCAATTCATAAATCTGGTGATTGACCGGGACAAAGATGACCCATATCTCATCTTAGGATGTCAACTGTTAGTCTAACATATTTAGTTGAATCATTCAATTCCAACAAACACAAGGGACTCGAGTTTCAAGACTTCGCTTTTGGACCTGCCATTCCGCTGTTAGCTGTGCGCTCTACTGCAGCTGCGTGATCAAAACCGCCATGTCCTCCAACCGGTGCGCTAGTGTGTGGATCAATAGCCTTATTTGGTTTTAATATAATCGCATTAGGATCGCGCTTAAAACTATCGACGAATCTTCGAGTCCATGGCTCTTTCGTCTCATATGTATCCGCGAAATGAGGACTGTCGCTATTCGAATATCCGGTGCCGCTAACCGCGGACTTTTCCTCGTCGTATTTCTCAGCCATCGCGCAAGACTCCAATAGTGCATATAGACTACTGTGACAGTTAAACGACAGTAGCGAGCAGGGAAAGTCGCAGGTACTGGCTTTCGTGAAATCCCCCACAGTAAAGAGCAAAAAAACGTTTCTGCAAAGAAGAGCGTTGAACACGAAGATCGATGTGAACGAGCTGATTCATATCTGAGAATTTTGCTACCCAAGTAATTCCCCAATACCCAGATTCTACGCTCATTGTTCGCCACGATCAGCTCTTTGTTGAGTATATTTGACTATGTACGGCTTTGGATCATCGAAGCTATGATATACGCCTAGAGCATGGTCATCCACTTCACACAGAGGGAACCGGTACTCTGGTTGACCTTCGGTGCTCTTGACAATAACGTAGACTACGTTTTATTAGCGATATGACAGCTTCAAATGGGAATTTGCTTACTTCGTCTCTTGATTGCCCTTGTTGGCGCTACAGAATTGCCTCCGGGATCGTTAGGGCGAGTTGTGTTAGCCAAGGGATCGTTATCGAATGCGATTGGTTCTAGGTCAAGCTATAACACATAAGTATGATTCGAGTAACGTTTCCACTAAGACTCACGTAGAGAATTTTCACTTTTGAGTCGAAGGGCAATGAACTAGTGACTACGCTCGTCGAACTTTCTCCATATATGCTACTATAGGTAACCACATATCTAGGCAGGTCAGAGATAGTCGTTCCCTGTAGGGTTTGCAGTACCTACGATAAAGACTTTCCAGTCAAGTCGTGACCAGGAACATAAAAAATACCCGGAACAGGATGTACGACGGTCGATCCTGGATTTAGAGGCTTGAAGCCAAGCATCTCCAGCACTTCTCCTTTTTTCGGTCCAATGTAAACGGCTTCAAGGTCCTTATCTAAAAGTGTGACGCGACGTATGTGTCCATCTGCCACGTGGGCTGGTGATACAGGGATGCGACTATTCCATTGGCGGACTGACAATTAGTGGTATATTCATCAAGTTGGCCAGCTGCAACTTACTGTTATCCTCGAGATTTTGGATCACCAGCCGCGCCGGCGCTAATTTATAATTAACGGCTTGATTCGCCAACTCCACCCAGTATCGGTGTTGTAGCTTCGCAGCAAAAGTGTCTACATAGAGCGATTGATGAGACCTGGGGGTATGAGTAGTGTCAACGACAATCGTAGGCTGAGAACGTTACCTGATCTCTGTCAACCCAGTCAATTTCTGTATACCATCGAGATTGATCGCGCCAATAGCCATTGGAGACCAATTATCTTGGATATATGATTTATTCGGATCGTTTGTGGTGGGTGTAGGTTCTGGAATGGCCTGCGTCCGACGCGTGGGTATATTGGTGACCACGTTGATCAGTACATCTCTGGCTGTAATAGTATCACTTCGCAACTGCACAAGTAAGTGGTCCATCAAAAAGAGTGGATTTAAGATGTTCTCACAGAACCGATGTCTTGCTGTAGCTGATTCAAGTTGAAGAGATATAATTCTAGGGCTTTGATCAATAACGAACCAGAGCACTCTCGTAAGTAAACATACCCCAATTTGTGCCTTCTAGAAATAGTTTTCGCGCATACAAGCCTCTTGTTACGATGATGCTATTACTGTGGTTAGTTGGGTCGTTACAACCGGTCTGCCACATACGCCTATGCAAGGATCAGTATACTTTCAGCGGCACGGTATTCCCGAAATTACCTTATGAGTGATGATTTGCCAATGAATACCTAACAAATAGAGGTCTAATGTCTGCTGTGAGGCGACGACATCCTCTTTTTCGAGCAAGGTTCTCAAGCTCGATAAACCCTCCGTCAGTTTTTCAAGTAGTGCCCGTAACTTACCAGGAAGCGCTCGCTCTCCGATGAGATCCGTGAACTTCGTGTCGTCATCCATGAACGTGATCCTCAACTCCACCTGGTGGTTTGAAAACCATTCCCTACAGTCAATGAGTCACATGTCATGATTGCAGGTATGGTAAGTTGGTAACTTACGCAGCATCGCGAATTTGTCCAAACACTTTGTCACTAATGAATGTGGCATATTGATTAGAAATACTCGTAATTGTCTCATGCACTCCGGCTTTGATGGCATTTATGATGTCCGTTTCGATCGTTGTGACAGCCTACTGGTCAGCGCGGGAGAGCAATTCTGGCATATGGAGGTGTTTACATTCTTGATAGAGTCCTCTAAAGACTTCTTGACCGACTCCAGTTCTGCTTGCAATTTCTTTTCAAGATCCTTGACAGTCCCTAAAACACTTTCGATATGTTTCTCCTGTCCATTCAATTTCACAAGTATAGGCTTCGAGAGCTCATCCGCAGAGAGGTGATGTGGCTCCTGATCAACTGCTGGCGCGGCGTTGTCTGAACTGAAGATTCCATCAAGGGCGGGAACTAACGTGTCAATGATGGGCCCTTTGTATTGTAAGTCTCAACTCATTTATTGCTAGCAAACTTGGAGTGATATCACGTACCGACACTTGGCACTGCATGTGCAATTATTCCAGCGATTGGAGCTAGCGCCTTCACAATGGGAGAGTGTGATACCTGAAAGTCTTCAGTTAAACGTGTCAAACCAAAGCAATCATCTGTTACTCACCACGTCTTTAATTGCTCCGATCGCACTGCTGACAAAATCTAAGAAGCCCATGATGTCGAGTCTGATGAATATGTTGTATCTCGATGAGGAGATGTAAAAGAACATTATAAGATGGGTTTTGACCCTAGCACTGATCGCAACACCCAAAATCACGCAATTCCATGGTAATCTTCTGCATGCTGCACCAGGTATCATTGGAACTATTCACTAGAACATTCAATATTTTGGTCTCCGTTGAAATCAGCGTGGAGTTGCAGGATGCATGTGGGAAAATATCGAATTCCCACAGCATCGGAGCATCCAGAGCCTAGACTTCTCGCATGCAGATATTTCATCCAGTCATAGAGCACATTTGCTAGATTCTAATGCATCGTGAAAAACATTCAAAAGCTCTACGCTCTGGGCGACTGAAGTAGTGTTCCAAAGTGGTCATTTTTGCAGGATCGACGTGCAGTATTGAGCTGTTAATATCTTGTGGCGAGCTGAAATGTAACGCACTATGCCAAGACGTCAGTCCGATTGGCCATCCTCACATAACTCAATAATGTATTCTATCCACTTTGAGCGGCCAATACCTTAACAAAGATCAAGGGATTTATGGGGCAAAACCAGATTAAAAGTCTGAGGAAAACGAGTCTCGACGAGAGGCGTTTCTCGCCAGACCCTCCCCGAGGATTGATGGTATACTTTCTACCCAATAAATTGCCTTCCAATTAGGTTTGTCTAGACCTGGACTGAGGATCTCCTTCGTCGTCCCAATCAGGCCCATGTGAGAAGACATTATTGAGTTATGTGAGTACCCCCGGGAACACACTTCCACGCTACGTCTTTGCCGTTTTCGAATGAAAGATTGATTATTCGCAGCTGAAAGCGGACAAACCTCATGCGTACAAAAATAGAACGATCAACTGTCCACATTCGTTCGGACTGGGGGTGGCATGACAGACTGCAAATAACAAAGCTCAGGGATCGAGGGATTTCAGTAGATTTCCGCAAAGCGAGCATTCATCAACTACATCTCTGGCTTCCAACAATCCTCTCATAACAATGTCAGCACGAACTCTTGGTCTCGTTTTTGGAGGGATCAACAAGTTAGGGCCATTAGCTTGGAAGATATGGCTGGAATTTCGAGAGTCAACGACTCAAATACCTTTCTCTCAAGTCGAAGCGAGAGAGAATTCCGAAGTCATTGGAGAGCTCGGCACCGAACTTCAAAATTTTGACATCAAATCTGAATTGGGTCGATTGCACAATTTGGGGAAGGCTTGCTTCTCTAGTACGACTGGTATTTTCGGCCATCAGTATGAGTACAGCGTACTCCTAGATCTTGGCGATCCTCACAAAGCTCTTAATGATCCGATGTTGATGGTTTTGTACATAACTAAGATTCCTGGATTTTGTGGCGTGCTTCTGCCCACTCATAAAGATAACAAACGCTTCCGGGACAACAGTTTATCGGATCAGGACTATGAGCAATTGCGAAACTCGTTAACCTCGAACCTCAACGACAAAATAGCACTGGCCCAACTTGCTCTGGAGGGCAAAATGCCACCTATCGATACCATTATCTTCCTCGGTAACGACTGCGTTAAGGTCGTCGAAGCAGTCATGGATGGAACACGTTTGTATGTCCGTCTGGAAACCACGCGGAAGCACACATTTCGTGATGGTTGGTCTCGACACGAATTCCGACTGGTCCCCGGAAGTGACAAGGTAGAGTTTGTCAACCATGGTGAAGGACGATCCAAGGTGCCACTTCGAGATAGTATGAATAACTCTTTCGCGGCGTTGATGTGGGGTGCCAGCGGAGTACTCGGTGCACGACACTATCTTCGATTCAAGACTCTTCATCCCATAAATGAGGACCTGGCGAACTTCGTTTGTGATACAGACGGGTCGTTTGCTCGTGACCTCGGTTCCTGGAATGATGTAAAGCTCATGGCGGTCGTTAAGCTGGTCACTTGTCTTGGGTCAACTTTCGGTCCTCTCAACCTCTGGCTGGTCACACATTTCCACAAGCTGCAAGATAATGCGACAGACGCTGCTAAAGCAGCACTTGAAAGAGCGAAGACATGGTCTCAGCTCTCTACAAGACCCAAAAATATTGGTTCTGGTTTGACAGCTGAGAATCTTAAGCTTTACGAAGCAAGCTGGCCAAACCACAACTCCGTGGAAGCTATCGCTGAT